TTTCGCTTTCACAACGAAGCACACAGCGCCTTCACCACATGGCGGCGGCGAGAATAATAGTTACGCCTTCTTTCTTTGCATGAACATTTGGGCGGCGTTATGCAAATCTTCCCACATAGTGATGTAGATATGTGGGGGCGTGTTTAAACGAAGCGTTTTAGGTAGGCGTGGCTGACTCTTAACTTTTATAAAGAATGTCTCTTTGGATTTGAGACTTTAGTCTTTGCAACTTTACAGATCTTCTTTAAGCACCAAGAGCTTGTAACACTCCAAAGAGAAAGGACGAATTGAAATCGCATCATATGACCCCTTTAAGACTAGGCTGTGTGCATATATTCATTCAAAATAGAACAAGACCATTTCCATCCACTGAAAATCACGACTATTTGATTATTTTCACCATTAAACTTCATCATATCCGCTGCTTAAATAGGTTAATGTAAAGCTCTGGCAAATCAAATGCATGCACCTCGGTGGTGAGATCCAATGCATTCGTTTTAATGGTTTACTTGTGCTTACATCAAACGACGATCATGTCATCTCACGTTTTAATGACCCATCATCTCCTCTATACCTTGCCAGAGAGAATGAATGCACATCTTCTTATGCAAGCAGGCGATCTAACGTTACTGGCCAGAGTCTGAAATCAGACAGGTAGTCAGCTGACATTTTCTAGAACAGCAAGCATGCAACATACCTTAATGAACGAGCTCCAGTGGGATTTTCTATCGTAACCTTTAATCGCACTGTTGGTCCTTCGGATTATCTGTTGCTTGATATTTCTGTCCCTCTCTGACTGAGATTACAGTACGACATCTAGGTGTATGAAGTCATCTGGTACTAACGACGTTGTCAAGAGTGAGCGTGACAGCAGAGGTGGCATTGATTTATTTTCATATGATGCCGTTTTCATGTGCGAAATGCTTGCAGAATGTCATCGCCTTACGTGTTAAATTACCACCGATCTGAATCTGACTGGAAAGACTCGGTCAGAACATTGAAGACTCATTAGAATGCAGTGCGGCAGACCATCAGTCTAAACTATTTAAAGACAGACGGGGGAGATGAGCACAAAATCACAGTGATCACACAAACCCACTTCATAAGCATTTGCATAACACATGCTTTAAATATACTTTCCCCACAATTTATTTTGAGTTTCACCAAAATATATTAATAAATTCGACTTATATATTCAGACCTATTTAGCTGTATAGCTATTCCAACCTTTCCGAATTTAAAAATGGTATCGCCCAACTGTTGTGTCGGCAGCGGAGAGCTTTGAAAGACGCTGATTGGTCGGTTGGCGGTTGTGTAATCCGTTGGTTTGTTGTGCGGAGAGGGGCTTGTCTGGAGGAAGAGGCCAGTATGGATCCGCCGCGGGATATTCAACGTTTTAAACGAAACATCGCCACTCGGTCCACGGTATCGTCGTGTTCCTCTCTCGCCATGGAGATTAAGAGAAAGAAAATAAGGGAAAGCATGTTTTTTCAAAATGAGGTGAGTTTGTGTTGTTGAAGTTCATGGTTTGGTGTGTCTGGAATATGGTTGTTGTTATTCAGGACTAACTTAACCGCCACATTAAATACTTCCTCAGGCCAACGACAGACATAAGAAGCGATGCGCAAGTGTGAATGACACGCAGCAGATAATAGAGGACATGAATTTGTTGTACATACGAGAGATTTCTAAGAAACTAAAGGTAGTCTGTGTATGGGAGCGTGGGATCATGTTTCACTGATATTCTGTGTTTTGTATTGAAATTCCCCAATGGGGCAAACAATTCGACATTCGGTACAAATAAGATCAATCATCTTGGCGTATTTAATTTTGAAACATCATCGCACAGCTCTAAAATCAGGTGTTAAGCTTGTTTTGTCTTTCTTTGTTCGACTCTTCTTCACCACCCACTTGCGTGAACGAATTATTTCATGTGAATCGGACTTTTCCCAGTGAATCTGTTGAGCCGATTCTCAGAACCGATTCGGACTGAATCATTGCGATAAGTTCTCGCGTCAAAAAAACCCAACTGACTCATTTAAACGCAATTCTGATCAAAGTCTGATTCGTCTGGAGCCGAGAACTGGTGAGTGATATGAAATTACAATTAAGTAATAAAAAGCCTCACAGCAATGTGTGATTTATTGGAATATGTAATTCACCTGGGAACACATGATTATGGACGGACAAAAGAATCACTGAGTCGAAGTTTTAGAACGAACTGTTCGAAAGAACCGATTCGCAGAAATGAGTCAGAATTCCATTACTTCCACTCACTTTCATCAATTCATGTGTCATTGTCGGTTATCAGAGACCCGCTTACAGCTTAGAAGAGGGTGAGCTCATCTTCTCTTCCAGCTGTTTTGATGTTACTTCATTGCATCATTTAGCTTTTTTCAGTGTGCCCAATGCCCATATCTCATCTCTCCATGAATCAGTAGGATGCACTTAGGAATGATTGTATAATAGATTGTGTGGTAGAGTCGTTTTCTTCCAGTATGTTCTTCCTTTTAGCCTTTTTTACCCTAAACTGTGTTTATTTCTCCTGATGGAATTTATCCTTCCAATAGGACTGTGATATTCAGGAGAAGTTGGAGTTTGAGATGCGGATGAGAGCTGGGGCTTACAAGCTTCTGGTTGCCAGCACTAAAAAAGAGCAGGTGCTGGATGCTTCCAGGAGTCTGTTAACCTGTAATGCCCGAATTAAAGCCTACATGAGTGAATCCCAGATGAGGAAAGCGCAGCAGGACATCAGAAGGTTAGAGCAGCAGGTGTATTGCCAGCTGTTCTTTTTGTTGGGAGTATTTAGTGGAAACATTTTTTTTTAATGTAAATTATTATTAGACATGCATATAAGAAATAAATGGCCATCACCTTTTTTATTAATTAATTAATTAATTTATTTATTTTTCAGGTCATCTGGCTCTCAGGATCAAATCCCTTGTAAAGGAAAGGTAGCCATATCTGGTAAGGAAACAACTTTTATATGTTTATATATATCTCTGTCTGTTATGTATTATTAATATGTCAGTGTGTCTTTGGTTCATGTATTTTTCTTTTGCTTATCCAGGCCTACGAATTCCATTGTTTTGGAAAGATACAGAACACTTTAACAGCAAAGGGAGTGAGTGACAATATAAAACATTTTATATTGTAATTATTATTATTATTATTATTAATAATAAAAAAATCACTGTCCTTGCTAATAATGTTATGAATGTAATGTATACATATGTTGCTCTCTGTTTTGGTTTTTATTAAGTTTATGGGTATGCTTACACTCCCAACAATTCAAAAGTTTTGTTTGGGTTTGTAAGATTTTTTTTTTTTAAGAAGTGAATAATTTTATTAAGCAACAAGGCGTTAAATTGATCAAAAGTGACAGTAAAGACATTTTAGAATGTTACAAACCATTGAAATTGAAAAACTAAATTGACATTTTAAAACAAACCAGTTTTTAATCAAAATAAAATTAAAAATTACCATTTAAAATTTTGCTTAATTTAGAAATTTTAAGCAAAAACAGAATGTTCTGACTTTTTAGCTTTGTGAAGCTACACTACATAACACATCTGCACGAAACGGCAGACGGGCTGAATGAGAATTCACTCTGACAGCAGATGTTGCTTATGAAACAGCAGCGATACAGCGTTTCCTTGTTTACAGCTGTAAACGAAGCAGCACTGTGCTTATAAATACTACTATAATATGCATTATGTAGAGGCAAGACGAAAATAAAATGCTAATCTAAACGTTTCTAAAAACAGTCAGTTCCCCTCAAAGATACATTCATATGAACTCCCGTCCCCAGCTGTATCGCGTTTTGTTTAACATTTCTACCGAATGGAATCGTCAAATATTTATCTATTTTCAACTGGCTCGGGGTGCATCGTTACATCCCTATGTTTTTCTCAAAACTGTTAAGCAGCACAACTGTTTTCAAAATTGATAATAATGAGAAATATTTATTGAGCACCAAATCAGCATATTAGAATGCTTTCTGAATGATCACGTGACACTGAAGACTGTCATAGTGAATGCTGAAGATTGTTATATGTAAATATCTTCATATAGCCTTTTATGCTGATGCCGTGTGTATCTGAACCCAGCAGATCCACAGCGGGTTGCAGTCTTCTGTTTGATGAAGATTGGCTCAGAGATTTTTGACACTGAAATGGTGATTGCAGACCCCTCAATGACCGATGTTTGCTTTGAAGGTGTCAAAATTTTGTAAGTTTTCAGCTTTCTTTATTTCTCTCTGCAAATCTACAGTCATTTGAGAACTATGTGAAAATTATATTATTGATTAAACAAGCTTGAAATGCCTTACTGCAGTCTGTTGAGTTCTGAGCTCATTTTCAATATTTTCAACAGCTCTGAAGCCAAGCCGGACTTTGAACTGGCATTTGAGCTGTATAGCTGTGGACTGGAGGAGGAGTCAACCTTTGTCAACACTCCAAAAAAACTGGCCAGGAAACTACGCTCCTCTTTCGGCAGATCTTCAGGCAGGAAACTCTGCCCTCTTATGGATGGAGGAGACCCTGACACTTTCCTCCAGTCCAACCCAATACCAGTGTATGCAAGGATAGATATTATGTTAATTACCGTTGCAATTAAATTTTTGTTTGTGTGTGTTAGTAGAGAAATGCCTGTAATACCTTTCAAATAAATAACTTACTTTTGTGGCAGAGGTGCACGGTACTCACTGTTGGCGTACACCACTCTGGGTTTGGAGCAGGCAGAGGGATCTTTCCAGTCTCATTCTCTTATAATTCTGCAAAATGGTAAGAGCAAACAAGCCACGTTTTAATAATTGACTAGCATAGTGATTCTGATTGACTTTCTGCCATCGGTCTGTCAGTGGAAGCTTCATCATGGCTGCCGTTGTATGGTAACTTGTGTTGTAAGCTGGTGGCACAACCTGACTGCATGACGCAAGACATGATGAGCGGATACCTGAGCCAACAGGTAAGAC